CTGATTTGAGTGAGTAAACACTTTTGAATCATTCTCATGAACATGGCTCCGGCATTCTTGAGGCCGAATGGCATGGTGATATAGCAGAAGCACCCGAATGGAGTGATGAAAGCTGTTTTGATTTCGTCAGGTCCATACAGACGGATCTGATGATACCCGGAATAAGCGTCTAGAAAAGACAATCTCTCGCACCCTGCAGTCGAGTCGACAATTTGGTCGATGCGAGGGAGAGGAAAATGATCTTTCGGGCAGGCTCGATTGATATGTTTGAAATCAATGCACATACGAAGTGAATTGTCCTTCTTGGGAACCATGACGACATTGGCGAGCCACTCGGAGTGGTATATCTCTCAGATGAACTCTGCTGCAAGGAGTCGAGCCACTTCCTCGCCAATGGCTTTTTTCTTCTGAATGGCGGACCGTCAAAGATGTTCTTTAACGGGTTTCACTTTTGAGTCGACTCTAAGGCGATGCTCAACCAGCCCCCTAGGAACACCCGGCATGTCAGCTGGCTTCCATGCAAAGATGTCCCAGTTCTCACAGAGGAACTGGATGAGCGCTTCTTCCTATTTAGAGTCGAGTGTTGTGGAAATATGGGTCGGAGCTGCATTGGGGTCAGTCGGGTGGATATGAACTGGCTTCGTCTCCCCGGACGACTGAAATGCTGACTCTGTGGCGGGCTTCTTGGCTCGCAGCAAATCACTCGGATCTGCATTCTTCTTGTATTCCTCCAGCTCTACCACTGTTATCTGGTCATCCGCAATCTTTGAGCCTTTCTGGAAACACTCTTCTGCCTTCTTTCGACTGCTAGTGATGGTGATCACGCCTTTGGGGCCAGGCATCTTTAACTTGAGGTACACATAACATGGTCGAGCCATGAAGCGGGCATAGGCTGGTCTTCCCAAAATAGCGTGGTAGGCGCTTCGGAAATCCACGACTTCAAATGTCAGCTTCTCTTTGCGGAAATGCTTCGAGTCGCCGAACACTAAATCCAGAGCTATTTCGCCGAGTGACTCAGCCTTCTTTCCCGGGATGACTCCGTGAAAACTCATGTTGCTGGAACTGAGCCTGGACATCGGAATGCCCATTCCCTTGAGCGTCTCTACATACAGTATATTCAATCCACTGCCGCCATCCATCAATACCTTCGTCAGTCGAGTGCCTTCGACGACTGGGTCGACCACCAGCGCTTGCCTCCCAGGGGTGGCAATGTGAGTAGGATGATCAGACTGGTCGAAAGTAATGGGAGTTTGCGACCATCTCAGATAGTTTGGTGTCGCCGGGGCGACCATATTGACCTCACGGTTGATCACTTTCAGTCGACTTTTGCTCTCTACATCAGCAAAAATCATCAGAGTGGAGTTGACATGAGGGTACTCTCCATCACTGTCCTCCTTGTCCTCAGCCTTGTCCGACTCCTTCGCTTTGTCCTTCGGCTGTTTCCCTTGAAACTGCTGGATTAAGAGTCGGCACTGGTGAGTGGTATGCTTTGGGTAGATGAAGTTACCCTCTTCGTCTTTCTTCGTGTGGATATGACACGGTAGATCCATCACGTCGTTACCTTCCTTATCTTTTACCTTCTTGGGGTTCCAAGATCCTTTGGGCTTCCCTTTGAATTTGCCCTGAGTCACGGCCAGAGCCTCTCCAGGAGCAGCTGGCTCGGCCTTCCGCTTTTGCTTCCGACTGGGGTTTCCTTTATCCACTGACTCGGCTTGTACTTGCCACTCCGGAGTCGGTCCTCTTCTTCGCCATTGGCGTACTTGGTGGCTATTTCCATCATCCGACTCAGGGTCATATCTCCAGTTCGACCAAACTTCAGGCTCAACTCTCTGTTCTTGACACCATCCTTGAAGGCGCAGACCGCTTGATGGTCTGACACATTCTCTACAGTATGATGCAAAGTGATCCATCTCTGGATGTAATCTCTCAGTGTTTCACTCGACTTTTGTACGCAAACTTGCAGCTCTGTCAATCCGGCCGGTCGCTTGCAAGTTCCCTTGAACGTCCTGACGAACACTCGGGAAAGATCTTCCCAGGTGTAAATGCTGCTAGGAGCTAACTGATTCAACCACGCCCTGGCCGAACCCTCTAGCATAAGTGGCAAATGCTTCATGGCCACCTCATCATTACCGCCACCAATCTGAACAGCCACTCGGTAATCTTCAAGCCAAGTTTCAGGCTTAGATTCTCCGGTGAACTTACTCACTCCAGTCGCCAACCTGAAGTTGGGGGGTATCAGTGCGGCTCTGATGGCTCTGCTAAAGCATTCTGGACCCGAAACATGGACTCGGCTGCTTGTGGGAACATCTCTGTCATGGCCACCTCTATGAGCTCTGTTCCGGTCGACCAAACCTTGCACGATGATGGATCTCGCGTAAAAGCCTGGCTCTCTGGGGTCGACTGGAGCTCTCCGGCCAACACTGAGCTGGCGTCTGTCATCTTGCTGCCGATGGGCGTTAGACCCACTTCTCGAGGGAAGAGTGGGCACTCGACGCCTGTCATCACGATCAAATCGATCATCATAGTGGTCCCTCCGGCCTTCACGTCCCACGCGCCTCGGAGGCGACCTTGGACTGTGAGCCGACTGAACAGTATTCGCAGTGACGGATCGACTGTGAATCCTGTTGCGCGACTGCGACACAGCTGAATTCTGATCTCCTACCGCCCGGAGCAAATCTCTGATCTGCATCAAGCCTCTTCCAGCCTCCGACTGAGAGGGCTGAATTGACTCCGCTATACGGGCTGCAGCTGCCAAATTTTGAATCGGGGTTCGATATACCTGAGTCGGTTGCGGAAAGAGCTGGCGTCGGCGGGAGTCGGGTACTCGCTGACGCGCACGCTCGTCGAGTGCTCGCTGGAGGTTCTCCAGTCGAGTGCGTTCAGCCAGGTTGGCTAAACGCGCCTCTTCCAGGGCACAAGCCTCAGGAGTTTCTCCTGCAATGGGAGTATGCAGGGCATCCATGTTCCGGCGGCGAAGTTCTTCCCTCTGCTAAGAAGTGAGTGGCTCAGGCTGATACTCTTCGTGGGCCTGAGCGGGGTCGCCCCCGTCGTCCATCCCGTCGTTGCGGGGGAAACTGGGAGGACTACGAGGCCCGTTGACCATCAGGACCTCCGCCGCTGGATCACTGCTATCGCACTCGGATGCAGTCTCTACGGAGCGAGTCGAACAGGCCGTAGAGAGATTCGTCGGGCTCAATTGCCGCGACTTGGGTGGTGGCCGATTGGCGAGCCACTGCGTGTCTCACCCATCGCTGGAGCCTCGACCGACCGGAGCGCTTGCGCTGGCGGGAGACAGGGAGGGAGGACGGCACAGGAGTCGACCGGTATGGGGTCGACGGCTGCCGCAGTAGGACGCCGCGGACACACGCCCGAAAGTGCGTCGCCCTGCGGACGGGGAGCGCGTCGATGTCGAGTGGTGCCTCCTGGAGCCAAGCGGAGTCGTCGACGATGAAAGTGAGCGCACCGAGACGGATCTCGCGACCCTCGACCAGAGCTCCGCCGGAAACCATGATGAAGGCAATTGGACAAATTGCAACTTCTCCAAAAAGTCGCTAAGACACCTGCCCCACGGTGGGCGCCAACTGTCGTGGTTCTAAGTCTGACAGTAGAATGGGGGGTAGGTATGGAGAGGCAAGATCCTAGCTATGGAGTAGTTGTACACACGAGTGTTTAACGAGTTCAGGCCCTTCTCTGAGGAAGTAAAAGCCCTACGTCTCGGAGCCCGGAGGCGGTCAACTGGTTTATGTGTATATGAGTTACAGGGGTGCGAACCCTTCTACCAGTGGAGGGAGGTGGCTTATATAGAGGACGCCAGGACCCCAGCCAACCCACGTAGCAGAGGGTTAAAGTACATTAAGGCCGGACGTTACTGGTAACGCCCTACATAAAGTGTCATCATGACCATTAAGACTACTTAATTACAGACCGTTTGGATACGTAGTAGATCCTGAACTCCTGATGGTCGAGTGAGTCTTCATGGTCGAGTGTCTTTAGGTTCGTCGAGTGTCTTTTAGCCGGTCGAGTGGAGTCTCTCTTGGTCGACTCGAAGGTAGCTTCGTCTAAGGATGTCCTTGGGTATGGTATCCTAGATAGGTCCATGACCCTACCCTAGGTACATAACATCATCACTGTGGCCTGCAACACCACCCACGGTGCCTCCTGTGCGACCAGGAACCAGAGACGATTGGACACCTGATGCTTGCGTGCCCATTCACCAGGCAGACTTGGCACGAGGTCCTTTCTTGGCTACGCCTACCGGCACCGACACCCGATCACGACGGCTCGCTCATGGATTGGTGGCTGCGCGCTAAGGAATTCACACCGCCAGCGCTTCGCAAGGCCCTCAAATCTGTGGCGCCTATTGGTGCCGTGGATGGTTTGGAAGCATAGGAACGCGTGTGTTTTCGACCATGTGAGGCCTTCGCTGAATGAGCTTGTAGACAGGATTAAAGACGAGACCCGATGTTGGGCAAAGGCCGGAGCACAAGGGCTCGGGTTGTTTTGCCACCATCCTGGGATGTCCACTAGGCCCTCTTGGCTGTGTAAAACTACCTCCCAGGAGGATGTAAATTCCCCTTTCTTTCCAATGCAATGAAACGCAAAAGCCATTTGCGTTTTCTCGAAAAAAAAAAGTTGCAACTCAAGCGGTAATTCACATCCAAGCCAAAGCTCTGCACCTAACGAACAGTAAATCCAAAAAAAGTACAAAATTCTAAACTCTTCTGGAATAAAAAAATGCCCGCCTGCACAAGGAGCGTGCAGATTTTCGTGGTATTTGGAAATTTAAGGACCTCTACGCAAAAATACAAAATTGGGTCCAAACAGTGTTCCTTTTTAAAGTTTGAATTTACTGTCCATGCCCAGGTGATCTGGGCACCGAATCACCGCGCTCCAACTCAATGCACTATCAGCATATACTACACGGATACATCTTAGTTTTCATCCAAGTGAGCAACGAACAATATTTTGTTCGACAACAACAGTCCACATCCTTCTGGGTATTAAATTCGGATACATGTAGCCTGCAAGGTGAACGAGGCCTCAGTTTTCTTTAAGACGAATAAACATGTACAGTCACAGGAAATTTCGAGGATATGCAAGATGGATACATACTTGGAGATCCAACCCAATGTGTTTAGCAATCTCTATCTTCCTCATAATATATTCATTCCACGTCTTCTCTTTGTGAAGCTGAAATTTAAAATGAAGTTTAGTTGCAATCTTCAAGAATAAAAAAGGAACTCGCAGACTGTACCAGAACAAGCATGCATAACCTTACTCCAAACCGCCATTGTAATCAACCTACGTCCTTCATCCTCTGGAGTCTACAGCAATCAAAGGTTTGTGTCATCTATATGAGATTTTAAGAAGGTACACAAATTAAAAGAACACAATGATGTGCTATCTTCATCCCAAATTGCTCGTATCGCAGCAGAGAGACGGTTTAAACTCACCCGAATACAGCAAAAAAATTAAAAGAACACAATGACGCACTATCTTCTATATCTAAATAGTTAGTCCCTACTATTGGATTTCTCTGCAATTTTATGCAGCCACGCCACCACCAAATAGTAAATAGTGTCTCCAAACAAGTGTCGGGATTGGCAACTTCACGCTGGGCAATCTGGAAGACTAGAAACAGGGATTGCTTTGAGCACAAACTAATAAATTTGTCGGCTGAATTTATTTATTTTTCCTGTTAGCCTTCACAAAAATATGGGCAGGGCTCCAAACAGGCAATGACTAAGTTTCCTAGAGGATAAGCTGTTGAAACATCAGGAGGCGCTCCACCAACAGTGTACCTAGAGAAGCAGATGGGACACCTGCATCCAAAACTTGCCCTGATGATTGTTTGGATAATTATTCACAGCAACTTGCCAATGTAATGGGCTATGTAACTTCTGATGTGTTTTGACTCTGCTTTGCAGTTTAGAACTGTTAGCTGCTAATACTCTCTGCTGGGTTGTGGCTCGTGTGTGTTATACCCTGGTCAGTAACTAGTTTTCGCTTTAATCCTTTTAATTTTCTTTCTTTTGAACTGCTAGTGATAGCGGTAGCTGTTCAACCTGTCTAGAACTAATGGAATCGAGAGGTGGGCCCTCATTAAAAAAGCACACTCAACGATGTGATTCACTGTAAATTGCATATAATTTTTATATATCATACATACCTCATCAGAGATATCTTCCACGCAAGTATCAAACTGGAAAAAAATGAAAGGATTAGCAAGGATAATGCATGTCAATAATCAGAACTCCATAGGATTAGGGCATAAATTGCAGAACCGCGGTCTACAGGAACTTACAGTTGATTGCAAACGAGTATAGATACTACTATTATCCAGTACAAATTGTATACACTTCTCCTGTCGAGGGAACATGTTCTCTTGCTGGATTTGTTCCAGAGCCTGTCTGAATGTAATCTGAGCAATGTCCAAGAACGGAACATAAATCACCAAGTGAACACAAACAGATACTATGGTTTTGTTTGTAAAGACCAAGGTTTCATTGGATGAGTACACCACAAATGACAGCTCCATACTATACATGCCAAGGTACGATGCTAACCTTTCGCTTAGTGAGACGTTTCCAAATCTCAAAAAGAAGAGGATCAATTTCTTCACGGTCAAAATGATCAAATCTCGTGTTAAAAATATGATCCTGAATAAAAAGAATGTTGATGTCAAATAAAACAAGAACTGTTGCTGATCTCAGGAATTACTGAAAGAGATATATTGTACCGTGTATGCAGTCAATGTTAGATTGATCTCTCCTCCAATGGGCCCAACGGCTCATTGGGCCCTTGACCCACGCCCTGATCGGGGGCGTCCAGCCCAAGCAAGGTTGGTGGGCCCCTGTCGCGCAGTGCTATAAAGAGGAGGTGGGGACTAGGGCACAGGGTACGAGGTTCGTCGCCGCCACTGTTCCCCACTCCTAACCCTAATCCGATCTGGAGGGAGGCGCTGAAGCGACGGGAAGCTCCACCACAGCCACTGCCACCTCACCTCTCTCTGTCATCTCCGGCACCATCACCATGGCCGGCACCAGGAGCTCCTCGAGCCACAAGAAGAAGGTAAGAACTACCGGAATATCTAGCCTAACCAATCCCGACGGATCTAACAGTCAAAGCTAAATCAAAGCTCATGTGGGGAAAGTCTAGCGCGATCTCCACTGCTTGCCGAAATCCTCTAGCTTCCACCTCTATCCACTAAAGAGCAAAAGGGTTATCATGGTATTATACTTCATTTGTACCTTTTACTCCACATGGTTTTCTTTACGGCATGTTTACCTCAGGAGATCCTCGTTCAAATTCCATGTAACGTTTAATCCACTGTCTCAAAAGATAAAGGTTATTGGTATCCTAGAAAGATGAAGAAATTAGAGTAGATTAAACCTTCATAGTACATCTGATGATGCATACCTTGATTTTCTTTGATATTTCTTCAAAGTACTTGAGATACTCTTCATCTGTTTCATAGGTAGTAAACCATGAGCAGTACTTCTCCCAGTCAAGGTACCTCGTGCCCTGCACTCCCAAGGGAGAGAAGAAATAGATGACATACATTACTTAACGAAAGGTTTCGATGCTATTAAACAAATTTACTGTGCTAATTAAACTTGTGTACAATGTTCATCATCACTGAAGTGTTAAAACAAGGGACAGTTCTGAAGAAAAACAAAAGCTTCAAAAACATAGCTTCGACATCAGGGGAAGTAGTGAGTGTGTAACCATGTCTGGATATTTCATACTTCCCACAGTCTCCAGGATGCAATTTCAATATTTGGCACTTTCAGAACTACAAAACTTTAATATAGAGAAATCACTGTGTGAAAAATACCACCATGGCACTTTTACATGATCAATCCAAATACATACAAAGGTGCTACGAATTATTAATATTGCTTCAAAACTGAACACCGCGACAAGGATTTGCAACTAGAAGGAACACGGCATCTTATTTGGTCCAAGCAGAAGTATCAGATTAGTTGAAATGCGCAATTGATTCACGCGTGCTATATAAACTAAATGCTGAAGCTGAAGCTGAACTAGGCATCGTTATGAGTATGAGCGGATGCCACTTACATCTCCATTTTTAAGGACAAGGCGGTGGTAGTCACTCAAGTAGGAGTGGACCGAGTGGTCAGGGTCGAAGTACCAATCAATGCTGTCATCATGGTCGTAGTCACTGAAGTAATACGTTTCCTCGAGAGCTTCCGGGGAGTATTCCTTTCTCAGAGTCATGTCATCCAGCTCATCCATGGGCACTCCCTGTGCCATCTGCATGTGCAACAGAAACACAAGCCGTGAGAGATAAAGTTCATCAGAAACTTGCAGGAGCATTGCAGATAAATTAGCAGAAAACAGACGGGATGCGCACACAAGACGGGATGTGCACACAAGATAATAGGGGGAATGCCAGGAAATAATAACCTTGGATGCTCTGATGCGGTAGAGCGCAAGGCGCTAGTCGACCTTGCGTTGCTGTTCACTGTCCATCCTGGGCCCGACGATGGTTGTGGGACGAGGCCTGCTGGACAAAACAGCGAGGTGCTTGCGGAAATCCTCCTCGCTGACTCTGTAATCCTCCTGGTCCGCGAGCTCGTGTGATGAATCCGATGGCGGCCAGACCATAGCACGCGCAGAGGACGATCTGAGAGACGGGCCTTCATCACTGCCACCAGCGCCGGAGCCGAACTCTGGATCAAATTGAACGGGGTCCTCCCGTGCGGCATCTCTGCCGGCAATCGAGATCATCACCGAACCCAAACCCTAATGTGTGATCGTCGGAAGGGGATTTCGCTTCTTCCCTTCTCGCCGGTCTCCTCTGTTGGAGGAATCCCTCCTCATTGTGCCGGACAGTCCTAGTCTTTTTCTTTTTCTTTGAGGTAGACAGTCCTGGTCTAGTCTAGGATGAAACAAGAGGATGGTCACCCTAGGGCCCCAGCGTCGCTCCGCTCGGGGCGACTCAGGTGGCGAGAAAACCCTAGCCGCCGGCCCCCCTTCCCCTCCTCCTTCCCCCTCACCGCCGCCCGAGGAGGCCTCCGGCGAAGCCCGCGTGGTCGCCCAGGACGGTGGCGGCGAGGATCTGGTTGCTTCGCTCCTCGCGGAGGGCTTTGGGCGCCGAGGCAGCGGCCTCGGGTGGTGCGACGGTGCCGTTTCTGCGGCGAGCGGCGTCGCGGGTGTTGCCCCCCGTCTTCTTGGTCGCGAGGGCATCGAGTGACGGCGGGCGCTGGCGCCGGTCGCAGCGGGGGCGCCCTCCCTGTTTCGGGCCTGGATCTGAAGGCAGCCTCCACTCCCCCTCAGCGCGCTCCTCCTCGCCGGATCTGGTCGCCGGCGGCCTCTGAACGCCGGATCCGTGGCTGGTGGGGTTGCTTGGAGCTGCGGAACTGGATCGGGAGAAATCCTTGGCTGGCTCTCCGGCCACGGCATCGGCGACACAACAGGTGTCGTTTTCCTCCTCGGAGGCTTTGTCGAGGTTCGTTTCCTCTCCCTCCTGCTCCATGACCCGGGTGAAAACCCTTGTCTTTTCAAGACTGGACGGCAACGGCGCAACGTGTGTCGCCACCTTCTTGAAGGTGTCGTCTTGGGCATGGCAGGAGTGTGCAGAGTGCTGTGAGGTGGGTGTCAGGTTGGCTGTGTCAGCAGCGAGGGAGATGAAGCTTGGTGCTCTGTTTATGTAGCAGTGATGCTCTGCTTTGGCTTGCTCGCCGGATCCTTTCTTGCTTGCTCGCCGGTTGGCGCCATTCTTTGGCAGGGAGGGGATAGGGCTCCTCTCTTCTGCTAGCAACAACTTGATGCGGTGGCTTGGGCATGGAGTCGATCCATTCGGGCTTGATCTGCTTCCTGTAAGGTTGCTTCATCTTACTCGTTGTTCGTTTGTTCAGTGTCAGTGCCTTTGTGCAGTTTTTCCCCTTGGTGGTTGGAGCGGTGACCTGTGGTGTGGCAATTCATCTGGTTCCTCGTGCAGCACTGTGTCGGGTTGAGAATCTCCCATGGTGCCCGGCATCGTGTCCTATCCTGGCTCTAGGGTGAGCTTCTCCATATTCCAGCGGTCCGGCGCCTTTTGAGCCAAGGCGAGGGGCAGGGGTCCCCTCTGGATTTGGAGAGGAGTGGATCGAACAAGCTGTCACCTTTCGGTGTAGATGAGGACGTGACCATCGCTGGACTTTGTCTCAGTATGAAGAACCCCTCTGGTTTGCTCAGCTTGATCTACTTCACTTGGTGGACGCCATCGACTTCTAGCTAGTGCTTAATTTGCTTATCCCTATAGGGCTTAGTCTTTGGTGCTTGTAAGCTGCTTCGGCAACACTATGTATCTGCTGCTCTTTTCGTTTCTTGTTTGCGGCTTTTCGCAGATGTTTAGTGGTTGTAATGATGGCCTTGTGTAATCCCTGGCCGGTTGATGGCTTTGTTAATTCAAAGTCGGGCTCTCCCTTGAGCCTTCGTTCTAAAAAAAGGATGAAACAAGAGATTCTCCCATCCACATTTAATTTCTTTGAGGTTCAATCTCTCTCCTCCATTCCCTCTTACACTGCACATTTAATTTTTCATTATCTATGCCTTTTTCATAAGATTTTAGAGCTTGAATCTAATTTATCCATTGAATCAAAAGTTTAATTTATGATCCGTTGGCATTTGTGTTCTCTATGGTTAATACTTTGAAATAAGACCGCTCTTAAATACATTTTGACAAGAAAATACCCTGATACACATAGTTGTAGATGAACATGAGAAAATGGTTTCCCGGAAAAGAATAGCAATTCACGAAGAAGTCAAAAATCTTGGAAACTTTTTTCGAACAAGCTTAACCTACTGCTGTACTCGTATAAAATTTTTGAAAAAGAAAAACTCCTATAAAAAAATTGAGCAAAAGAACAATTTACACATGGCAATAACTCTAATGTAGTGTTGATTTTGTTTTTCACCAACAATACCTCGAAAGTTATTTCTTTGCAACAAAAATGACGAGTGTAACACTTGACCAAGTTTGTTATAATTATTTTTTTATGATTTTTCAACCATTTTTAAATTATTTTTTTGGTAAAAAACTGGTGCACCTACCCATGTTTTTTAATTCAAAATTGAAACCTTGTCAAAATATATTCAAGATTGGTTTCGTTTGGAAGGCTTCAATATCAGAAACACAAGTGTGCAAACAAATCCTAAACCAAATTTCAAGTTCAAAAAATAAAGCCAAAACATTAGATTGATACAATATTTAAATCATATGAAAAAGTATGGGTGAGTTGCATTGTTTGGTACGAATCCCAGCGCAACTACCAACGGTTGGACCGTGCACGGGACCTCCCATGCACGGTAGTTAATCCAGTCTCTAGTCTAGGACTCCCTTCCTCCTTCCGACTTGCCTTTCCCCCCAATAATTTAAGGTGGCTATCGACTTGGGCCTCTGTGGGCCGACTTACCCCATGGCAGCGGGGTAGGCCCACTATGAACCTTTCAGAAGCTTTGGACTCTTCCGACCCTTCTGCTTTTGGAACCCTTCTCTCTCATTCTCCTTTATCTCATCTTTATCTCATGGTCCTTCTACGTACTTCTAGTCGTTAAGCGTGTGATCCTACATGTTCAATAATATATGGACATGTCTAAAACATCTTTCAGTCAATAATTATTGGCCAAATCTCGACACTCACCATAATTCCCACATATCAACGAAGATCGTTATCGATCGAACCCATATGTTATCGTATACAATTCCTTTTATCTCGCAATACGTTACAAAACTTAAGACGAGAGTTTTACGGTGTCCCTATGATTAACACCTTCATCACTATACCTAGTTATCCTTGTTACCAGTTTGTACTCTTTTCTTGTTTCTGTATTTCGGTATCATTAGTCATTGTGTTTGGCGAGACGATGATGGACACCGTAATACTGAGTGGACCCAAAGTGTATCTCTCCATCGTCGGAGGGCAAATCACGGTCTTGAACTATCGTTTATCACGTAATACTTGTTTGGTGTACCCAAAAGTTACCTTTATAATTACCCAGTTACGGAGTAACATTTGGCAACCCCAAAGTAACCATTTGGTATCCTCATCTATGATATTATCATGGGATAAGGTCACAAATAAACATTAACACATTATATGAGAATACTGTAAGTGCATCTAGTGCCCCTTAGTGATTTTGGTGTATTGAAGACTTATAGGTTAAGGGACTAATGTGTTTGTGAGTGTAACAGGCTCTATAAGTCAATGAGGAGTTTGATATTTACAGTGAAAGTCGACCCCTAAAAATGAATGTCTTCAGCTGAAGACTTTGGTTCTCCTGAAGACTTTGAAAGTGATGAAATTGGTGTGACCTTGAAGACTTGAATATTCATGCGAGGATTATGAAGCGTGAAGACTTTTATTTTCGTAGTTTCATTTTCTCTTTCTTGAGTAATAGGAAACACCGTACTGTTAAAGGGGGTCGAGGTAATACTAAGGAAACTGATTTCCAAGTGATGCTCATCTCAAAATCCTACACCTACCCAATCCTTTTGAATGAAGCCATTGGAAATCTCATATCAGTTCAGTCAATTTCTTCAGTGACAGAGACGAAGTTCTTCTGGTCTATGAGGAATTTGTTCTGACTGAGGAGTTAGAAATTCGCCAGTGCGGATTGCCTACATAGTGAGGAACATGATAGCGCTGAGGAATTCGAACCTCAAATCCGACCGTTGTTGTGCTACGTGCCAGCTGTCCAAAATATCCTACCACCTAACGGTCATATCATTGAAGGGAATTTATGTCTTATCATGTTGGGCTGCTCCCTAGGCTATAAATAGCCGCCCCCTACAACCACTAGTTGGTTGGCTGCTCCGAAAGAAACTGACACTTGTCAATTGAGAGCATCCCATCCTTCGAGGACTTTGAGCGAAAATCATCAAGTGAGAAAACCCAAACACCTACAAACCCAAAGTGATTGAGCATCACTAAAGAGATTGTTCCTGTGTGGAACTGACGCTTGTTACCTTTGAGGACTGTGTATCCTCTAGACGGTTAGGCGTCATGGTCTGAGCATCCAAGAGGAATTGTGGATTGCCGAGTGACCGAGTCTGTGAAGGTTTGGAAGTCACCTGTGAAGACTTACCACGAGTGTTGGGCGAGGTCTGTGTGATCTTAGCTCAAGGAGAATACGGTGAGGACTGTGTGTCCGGGACTGTGTGTCCTCGAGTTTAAATACTCAGCCGCTCCAACCAGACGTACAACTGTCATAGCAGTTGGAACTGGTCTACCAAATCATTGTATTCACCAAGCCTACTGGTTCTATTT